AAAGCGATTAAGATATTCAAATGTCCTAATTAACTGGTTACCATAATAACACTTTAAACAACTCTGAAAATTATTTTTTTTAAGAAAGCAAAGCATATGAGTGATCTAAGATCTAATGGGGCTCTATACTAAGGTAAAATGCCACCTTCTCTTACAGAATTTGTATTAAAACACATTGGCATTCAGTAATTCTTTCTATTTTTAAACTTCCTTTACCTGAACTAAATTGATAAAATAAATAACCGAATTACAAATTTCAAGTATAAAAGTAAACAGTCCTAATTCCACTGAAAATATTTATTTTTCTTCACAGAAACAATGGTTTCCACAAAAGGGATGGAAAGTTAGACTAATAGGAGGAATAAACACTAGATGTTCTTGAAGCACTGCTGTATAACAATAAACCATTTTTGTAAATGTGCCTAAAGAACTCAAAAGACAATGAAAGAAAAAAATTCAGTGCAACCATGCCAAGTGAAAGTTACATTATTGAAGGTTTACACTATTTTTAGGAAAAGCAAATATTAAATTTTACATTATGGTTCTTAATTTTCTTTTTACATCTGATTTATACTGATGCATAAATACAGCTTTATATCCATGTACTGATACTTTTGAATAACTCTTTGATAAATATCAACTTTAACTGTAACTCCTTTTGAAAATTCTAAAGCCTAGATACCTTACTGCAACAACTGCAACATTTTGTAAAGTTTTCAACCAATTAAGAACGTTTCTCTATTCTGCATTTTAAAAAAATGTTTTGCTACAGCTTTTAGTCTCTTGTAATACAAAACTAAACTGTTGGTCTGATATAAAAGTAACACCACCATTAACGTGTCCTTACTTCAGCAACACCTTACGCTACCTATAAAGCCACGCAGATATTAAAGTGAGAATTCTAAAGCTAAAATTTCTTCTCTAGTATAGGCCTTAAATCCCCAAAACAGTTTCAATATGTCAACCTAGATTTATATTATTAAAACAGAAGACAGTATTAGTCATCATGAATTAGCATTGGTAAGTATGTGTCCTTGAATATTAATAGGATAGCTAAATGACTATGCTGTATGTGCTCCTAATATTCCATAGGTCATGATGCTGCAATATTATTTTTAACTTACACAAATTTAGATAAAGGTGGTGACTTTTCAATACATGTTTAGAAGAAACCAAAAATGCAATGGCCACTAGCAATGTCTCTGAAAAGCCGATGCTAGAAATAAAAACTAACATAGAAAAACAATCCTTTACAGGTGAGAGTAAGTGGTGCATCACTCTGTAAGTGAAAAGCTTACCTCAATTTGTTTTATTTGAACTATGCTTCAATAATGTAAAAATAGTATCAAATGGATGTGGTTTACCAGAAAGAGAGAGACAGAAAAGAAAAAAAAAACTTACTGATGGGTAACATGAAAGGTAACTTTTGCAACTGAAGGCAATTCGTTATACCTGAAACAGTTTCATCATCATATTTATTGGCCATTATTCACAACCTTAAAAATACAAATAGCTCAGCAACTCACTTTTGCAGTTTTGTTAAATTAAAATGCACGTTTACTTGCTGAAAATAGCCATATCTAAGTTAATCATACTCAGATGCCAAACAAAATATAAACAATAAAAAATGTGTCAGCCAAAAAGCTACAGGACTGTATCCAATCACTGAATAAGCCTTATCATTGTTTTCATCTTCATTCACAATTTATGAATGCCTCAGTCCTTTTGAATCACAATGGCTTCTAATTGTCATACAATTGAAATCTTAATCATTTGTCCATTATAAAAATGCATGATCGTGATACTGGATTTTTTAAAAATTGTAACACACCTAATACTAAGCGACACTTCTTTAACTGTTCAGCTTTTAAACTAATGTCAAAGAAAATGGTTATCAATTACCAATCATGACACATCCTTCTAAACACTGAAGTTTACTGTCCCACACCTTTAGAGGTTTAAAATACTTCTTCAAATAACAACTCTGGGCTAAGATATTTAGTTAGTTCTTCAGTTGGTTAGTTAGCTGGGCAGCGATGAAAGCTGCCCCCAGGTAAGTCTGTTTGGTCTCGCCACTCTACCATTTAACCGGCTGGTTTAAAATTATATAAACTGTGTTCTTAAAAATGTATAAAGCCAGTATTTTACTTCATAACACAGTTCCTGAAGCCTTAGGACAATTTTCAAAGTGAAAATTTGTAAAATGACCTTACTTTTCCAATATTACTTTCTGCCTTACGACCTACGCCCAAATATCGTCAAATGAACAGGTCTCCACGAAACGAACAGGTTCTAAAAGTCCCTAACTTTCACTACAACCAACTAACTCGAGTCAACTTAAAGACCGCCTTTGTGGTGTGGTCACTGGAAACCTCAAAGTGCGGAGAGCGACGGACCAGAGTTTCAGATCCCCAAATTAAGCAAAGGAATGGGTCCCCCGGACCACAACCTCCGACTCGCTTCGTCGTCCGCCCACTGCCTGCATCGGAGTCCGGAGGCGCCCGCAAGGACTCCTGCTGGAGTCCCCTCACCCAAGTTCACGGGTTTTTATAAGGGCTCAGTCCACGCCTAAGCTCCTCTAAAGCCGGATCCGC